CTTCAAAAAATATTGGCTAAGGTTATTATATCACATGTGTCCGAATTGTTTTAATTCATATAATAATCTTTGCAATATAATTGAAAACACGGTTCTTAAGCATGTATCGTTTGTTCCTGGCATTTTAAGAACTACATCCATAAGGAGCATTTTGAGCTTTTGATATGCGGTCAAATTAATTATGAATCTAAAAGTAATGGTGTCCATTAAGGGAGAATATGTTTCCTCGTAATCAATTCCTGATTTATTATGATAAACCTTGAGCTACGAGTCGAGCTTTGTATCTTGTGATTTCGTTATTTTAATTTATCTTTCGAACAAAAACCCGATTGTATCCAATCGTAATTACATTTTCAGGTAGTCGATCTATAGGTCTAAACACTTTTCGTTTCTTTAAAAAATTTAATTTCATATGTATGGCTTCTTTTAGTTTTGATCAATTACTTCTATGTTGACATTTTTAATAGACTGTGGTTCAGGATCCCCATTTTGCATAATATCAAGAGTCATGTTAAAGGCGGAAATATTCTCTATAACAATATTATTTTGTTTCCATAATTTATGAAATAACAATATAACTTATTGAAATCTCATTATTTTTAGATACTTGTGGATTTTCGGAAACAATATTTTCAATATTTGATTGATCAATAGTTTCTAGTGTTACTATTTTGAAGTTTTTTGGTTAGCTTTTCTCTTGTACTTTTCTTTTTCGAGGTACGAAATCTTTTGAACGAACTGGTCACAATGCTTCTAGCTATTTGATATTCATTTGCTACAATAGATTATCTACAAGGAAAACAATTTTTGCTGAAATATGTTCTGCTAGTATATATGACTTTGTCACTTTCATTGTGTCAACAAATACATCTGGTAATTGATTTGCAACTCTTCGCAAATGAATGATTTTTTCAACCTAGAGGATTAAAGTGAGATAGAGCTATTTCATTTCAAGAAATTTTACTTTATTTTTTAGGATATAATATTTTCCATCCTAAAGTTGTGAAAGTCATTTCATATGTAAAACGTGCAATATATAAATTACCTATTAAATGTTCAAGATATCTAATAATAGTCGGTGAATCAAAACTCACATAAATCTCAATTCTTTGTTGCAACCTATTTTAGTGCGTTGTGGGGATGAAATGGAGACTTAGATAGCACAACTAAAACCCACATTTGAGAAATATTAGGTTCATGACCAAATACAAATTGCAAATATGAATATTGATAATAGGCAGTTGGTTTTTTCCAATAATTTAGCATGCAATATGGCATGACTTCAAAAAGAAGTTGGGAATTTTATTTTCATAAGTAATTGTCTAGCAATATGTAGACATTTAATAAATGATTCTACTAAACCATTTTGTGTGTGGACTTGTGGATCTGACTGTTCGATAATAATCCTAATTGATATACAATGATCATCAAATGCTTTCGATCTAAATTCATCGACATTGTCAAGATGAATTGTCTTCGTTAATAATAAAAAAATTGAGCTAGTAAATAAAAGCTACATTCCTAGTTGACAGCTGGCAAACATGGGATTATCTAGTAGAAGAATCTATTAATACCATAAAATAGCATAATGGTCTACATGTTAAGTGTATTAACCAGCATATATCTCCATGAGTTTTTTACAAGATAGTTGGAGATTCAATATGGACCCTTAAAGTCGAAGGTATAATGATAACTTGCTTTGCGAATAAGTTACATATAAATAATCATTAAGTAAAAGAATTTTATGGTTCTTTAAAAGATGTCCATATGGTTGTTTATTATTCGACGCATCATTATAGCTCATGGATATCAAAGTCCATCATGCTAAAGTATAAAGCTTTTAAGGTCAATGAACTTTTGGGTCGTGACAACATTTGATTCAACCATTTTTATAAATATATGTAATTTGGCTAGATACAAAAGAAGTTATTCCAAGATGTTTAACATTTTTTCTTGCATCGTCTCAATATGATATCTGTTGCAACAAATATCTTTAGAACGAAGCAAATTTCTTTTTGATTGACTAGAATAAAGTGCACCATCGATATATAATTTATATTATTTGGTAAAATAATACAAGTTCAACAATATTTGATGAACCTGATATCGTATTAACATTTACTTTTTGCTAATGTTAAGACCAAAAAATATTTTGCCTTAAAAATAGTATGTGTAGTTGCATTATCAATCAAGTAAGTATTTAGCAATCCATCATGAATATATAAAAAAAGATATATTTTGAAAACTTGAATTTAAATTTAAAAAAGTAAACATAATTCAATATTATGAAATTAACGATGCATCATAAAGTTTCAATTTGTTTGTGAAAAGTAAAAACATATTTCAAATTGAATTCCCAAAAGGGAAATACTAGTAAGTAAACTAATCTATATTTTCCATCACATCACCTTCAGTGAAATGTTCAATATTCCCCATTTGGATCAATAAAGAAACTATAAACATTCAAATGAGTCACATTAATTGGACCATCATAATCAGACAATTTGTCTCCACGTTCTATTTCCCTTGTTGATTTTTGGTAGAAATACACAAGATGTTTTGCCATGCGACAAGTATGTGCCCAATGCCCTTAAATTTCACATCTAAAACAAATTTCTTCGTACTCCTTTTTGAATATGCTATCTTTACTTTGTGTCTTTTGAAATAATTTCCTTCTTGTTGATAGCTTTGTTGATTATTTCGTCCATGGTTTATTGTACATGCACGTTCTTGTCTTGATATTGTATTTACTTCAGTTAATGGTACAAAACCAATTGGACGTATCTCATGATTTTTATCAGCAGTTCACTATTTTGTTCAGTCACAAGTAGGGATGTCAATGAAATGAGCCGAGCCGACTCGCTAGCCGAAACTCAAGGCTTGAGTAAAATGTGCGAGCTTTTTTCCGTGCCCTAGCCTAGTTAAGCAAATGCTCGGCCAAAAAAATTAGGCTCGATCGAGCTTTCGGCTCGAGCCTTTTCGAACTGAGCTAGGTAGGCTCGCTTTTTTATGCTACTTCTATTTTTTTTTAAATAAGACATGCGGACCAGCTCGGGCTTGACCCGTTCTCCTAAAATGGAGCTTGACTCGAGCCAGTTAGGGCTTTTTTCATGCTGAGGCACGGGTAGCCCGAGCCGAATTGTCATCTCGAGTCACAAGTAGGCAAGATATTGGCTATAAGTGCATTTGGAAATCACGCTCATGATATTGCTGCTACAAGAGCACATTTAAGAGGTGAAAGGTAAAAAATGTTATCTCTAACTTATTTTCATTAGTAGTTTTTCTCCACACAAGATCAATTTTGAATATATTCTTAATAGATTGGAATTGTACTCACTAATAATTTTGAAGTCTTGTAAACAAAGATGCATCCACTCATTGCGGGCTTTGAGGAAGAGTATAATCATCTGATGATCAAATCTTTTAATTAATTTTTTTCATAGATCCTATGGATCTTTCTCAATGAGGTATTCAATTTTCAATCAATCGTGAAGATAATGACGAAAAAAGATGAGTGCTTTTTCAAGATTCTATAGGAATTCTTTGTTTCCTTCTTTTATTGTCTCTCCCAAACATTTTGAAATCAGATGGATATTAGTATCGAATACCCAAGATAAATAATTTTTCCTAGATATGTCTAGTGCAACAAATTCAAGTTTCGTGATATTTACCATTTAATTAACTACACAAAAAAGCAAAAATTTATACAATAAGTTTTAAAAAATATGATTAAACACCACATAATAGTTAATAAACAGTCAATATCATGACTTAAGGTACATGTTTTCCTTTAGGGATAAATGCTAATTTAAAATAATATCTTCTTCAAACATGTGCTACTTCGGGAGCATGTTGTATTTTACTATTGCTTATTTAAGAGCAATAGGACAATATTCTACTAAAATATTATTTATGCTCTCCAAGAGCAAGTAATAATCTTCAAGAATATTAATTATAATATTGTATTACTTCAAGAGCAACAATAACTATTTATAATAGATGGATCCATGTTAGTGATCTATATTATTATAATATTGTGCTACTTTAGAAGCAACAAGATGATGAATTGTCAGATTAAAGTTTATAAAGCATCTTAAAAATATTAATCAGATTAAAATTATTAATTACTATATATTCATTAGGGAAAAAAATCTTAACATACACAAAAGACTATTAAAATCTCCAACCATCCATTAATACATTATTAAGGCATTAAAATATGCATTAGATGCATAATAATTATTCAATTAACCACTATAAAAAATAATACAATATAATTAATTAGGAGGCTCTTGACCAGAAAATGCAAAAACCCTATATTTATAGAGAATAATTGAGGATACAACGATAATAATTTTTAGTGCTGTAGGGTACAATATCATTCACTATACCATTTTCCAAGATTTTTACAAAAAACTCGTTTACAAATTAAAAATCATTTCATTGCAATATAAAATGTCCTTATATTTCAATCCCAAAATAATATTTCCAAATTAAAATAAGAGACATAAAACTAGAAGAGGAAGGAAAGAAGATCTTTTTACGGAATCAACTTTATTTTCAAATTAAAAAAATTAAATGATGAATGAATAAGTATATTATTGTTTCCAAATTAAAATAAAAGACAAAACTTACTTCCGTTTCATTCTGATTTTCATATATAAAAACCTTACTATATAATTACATAAATTCATAAAATAAAATAAAAAATATAAAAAATTCTAGCTTTCTTCTGATTTTCATATAAGAACTTACTGTATATTCTTCCTGCCTTAATTGTATATAGAAATAAATATAGAGAAATTTATTAAGGCAAATCCTAGAAATCAGAAACTATTAATGGTTTTTAACAGCTGTTTACCAAAAAAACTTGACTCAAATATCATCTATTCTTCAGCCGTTTAAAGTATTTAATTTGTTCCCATATATAATTATCATTGCACGATCTATATAAGATTGCTATTTCATCATAAACTTTGTCGAGAAGGAAGAATAAATAGAAATGGCTGGTGGCTCCTTTCCTTTGGCTACTCTTTCATTAGCTTTCCTATGTAGCTGTCTTACGTTCCATAATGCGAATGCTGATTTAATTGGCGATCTTTGTTCAACTGTGCCGAATCATTCTTTCTGTAACCAGGCACTAAGATCCGATCCTCGTTCTGCCAAAGCCGATATTCGTGGATTAGGCCAAATCGCCCTCGACAAAGCATTAGCCAGTGCCAAGACAACCTTAAAGCTGGCACAAGCACTTGGAAATGGACAAAAACCGAGTACGTGTGCAGAGGTCTGCAGTGATGCAATCGATGATCTTAACGAGTGCCAGGGTTTGTTACGTGGGAATGATAAAGGATCTTTAAATATTAAAGCGTCGGCTGCCATGACTGATTTGGATACCTGCGATGATGATTACGGAGCAAAGGAACCTATCAACCTTAAAAATGCTAGTCAAACAACAAAAGGATATATCAGTATCATTTTGGCGGTATCAAATCGTCTGTAGGGAAAGATTATACATCTTGAATGTCTTTTATGATGCAATTTGTAATTTCATAATGAGAGATGACAAATGTTTTGCTTGCTTAAATTTATTATTGGAATTTTTACTCATTATGCTCAAGTAATATTTTTCAATTGAATATGGCAAGAAGTCAACGTCAAGGTCAAGTGATCGAATCGAGGTGGAATTAATTTTCAAAAATAAATAAGCAAATATATTTATGTGACAGAAATGAGGGAATTTTCCAAATAAATGAATTAGTATATAGCATTCTAGTGTGCTACTATAACATTATTATGTGAAAAAGATAGAGTAAATCGGAAATAAAAATGAAATTAAATTTAAGAAAACAATACTTTATTTTAGTCTTTAGATTTCAAGTAACAATATTAATATTTGTTACAAATTATTGTTTTCATATACCAATATGATTTATTATCCTTTTTCTATGACATATTTACTTTTTAAAAGATTGTACGAAACCATTTTAAAAAAATGGTTCAAAGTCCATGTTTTCAAACTCGGTCCAGACATCGATCGAATAAGGTAAAGGATCGAAGGTATAAACACTAAAAGAAATTTATAAAAACAATATATAACCATTTCCACAGCACTAGTTCAAAGTAATTGAAAATCCATATTTAATGTAAAATTTATTATTATATAAGTTGTTTATCCATCTAAAAATTAACACCCATCTGTCTGCACTAAAATACTATTTAAGGATGTAGATTTCACAATCATCTGATATGATTTTACATTAAAAAAATTTATGCCCCTGTTTGTTAGAAATTAAAATTAAAATTTAATTTAATTTAAAGTCAACAATTAATTTTAATCATATATTTAAAGGGATTCACAACTTTTCAACCACACATTTCATTAATTTTTATCGAAATATACTAAAAAAATCTGATTTTGACCCTATCAAACAAGGGCATATCTGTATTTGTTGGCAAGTATGCTGGAAGTTCAATGATTCCTATATGGAAAAGTAGATATTAGGATTAGAGAGATAAAAGCATATATTAGGACTAAAGTTTAGGTGCATTTGATTTGTTGCTTATAGCCTTTTTTTAAGTTTTTCGTTTTGCAAAAAATTCAAAAAAGTGTTTGGTATGGTACTTTTCAAAATAGAATTCTAAAAATAATCTTAAGATTATAACATAAAACTAGAAATCAATCGTTTTAATAAAAATTTTAAAACTAAAAGTTTGAACAAATAAAAAAAAAGGAATTTTAACAAATAAAATTTTGAAACGCTTAAAAAATAAAATTCAAAAAAATAATTTTAAAAATAAAATTCTTAAAAATATAAAATAAAATAAAAGTTCTGAAAAAAATAAAACTATTAAATATTCTAGAAAAGTAAAATTTTTAAAAAATAGAATTTTTTTTCTCTCAACTATTATTTGCATAAAATTCTAAAAATTTTATTTACATGAACACAAATAAATATATTATCGTTTTATGTCATTAATGTCTATTTTTATTTCCTATATTTTGAACTCAATTTATTATTATTTTTTTTACTTTTGTAGTGAGAAAAAATATTGTAAGATTTATCAAATTTAAAGTTTATATCTTAATAATATATTGAAGTCAACTCTATGTCTTCTTGAGAAGGCAAAATTTTCTCTTGTCCTCCAATCATCCTGTAAAAAAGAGATTGGGGCTTTTTTCCCCGTTTTACCTTCGGCGTGAGAATCAATAATTGTTTTTAGATAAAGGATTTCAAAGAACAACAACAAAGATAGGGGAAAAATATTTTTCTGGAAAAGAAAGATCCTTTATACCTGACACGCCCATGGGGTATTTATAGGCGTCTGGCATCACGTTACGCTGGGCAGTTACCATTCACGTGTCCTCGTAAGTCTAATATCAGGGCTGTTATCATCCACGTGTCCTCATGAGAACTGCCCACTCCTCAGACGATTTTTCCATTTGTTCAGCGGTTACCCTTTCCCACTACTTGAATAGCGAGTTTAATGATAACTGTTAGAATGGTTATTGACCAGTTCCAATAATGTTCGGGTAATCTGGATAACAGTGGTCGGTCCGTGTGTGGCGAGAGTCAGACTAGCAGAGCAACAAGTACCTTAATATGAAGAGCGTCACCTAACATGCTAAAAGTTGTATGTACCCAATGAGCAAGCATGGATCGTCTGACATAGTGGAAGTTATCTTTTCTGTACTAGTCATCCCAATTCATTATTTGAACCACATAGTATCACTAGCCTCCATACTTCTTGTCAATTTTTATCGTCAAGAGGTAGTGTTGTTGGATCATATCGCAATTTATATTTATATTTATATTTATATTTAATTATTATTTTTTATTTTATTATCGCGATGGGTTGAATTTATAGCATGGTATAATTTACAAGTGGGTCAGCTTATGGGCCTAGTCCTTTTGTCAACCCTAAAATTTTCCTATATAAAAGGAAACGGATGTCTTTTTGTCTTCCTCCTTTCTGTAAATTCTAAACGTTTTTCTCTCCGTCTTCATCTCCAAGGTAATCTTAGGGATGTCAACGAGTCGAGCCAACTCGCGAGCCAAAATTCAAGGCTCAGTTAAGATGATCGAGCTTTTTTTTGGGTTCGAGCTGAAAAAAATTAGGCTTGACCTGAGCTTTCAGCTAGAGCTTTTCCAACCCGAGCCGAGTAGGCTCAATTTTGGATTTTTTTTAATTAAAGAGGCAGCTGCCTTGAAATTAAAGTAGCACCCTGCTTCTTATTTGGCAGCAACACGCTGTCTTTTAAGGCAGAGCGTGTTGTTGCCTTTAAATTTTTTTTTTTTAATTTTTTTTTAAATATAGGCTTGTGAGCTTAAGTCGGCGAGCTATACAAATCGGCTAGGGCTTTGCCCGGCATCCCAAAGCGGGGCTAGGCCCGAGCTTCGGCTTGGTTCTCTTGAGCCTTGAGCCGGGCAAGCTTGAGCCGACGAACCTAATTGTCATCCCTAGGTAATCTTCTTATTCCCCTCATATTTTTTCTTAGAATTCTAGAAGCCTGTCATAATTTATCGATGTATAAGGTAATTCTGTCATGTCCATTATCTTCTAGTCCAGAAAGTTCCAATTCATCCTCCTAGACGTTAAGTGGGGGTGAGAGTAGATTTGACAATGAGAGTGAAAAGGGGACGGAGGCGGGACGGTCGGTCGACAACCCCGATCGATCGACTGACCATTCCGAGCGGTTGACCAGATCGATTGATTGGTCAACCTGGGTGGTCGATCGGTCGATGCTAGTCGACTAGTCAATCGAGGTTGCAGGGTTGATCAGCCTCCTCGTGCTGTTGACAATCTTCTTGACCTTTCAGACCTTTTAATTTTCGTTCCATGTCCTTCTGAATATCATATTGGTTCTTTCAAGTCTCCAACCTTCAACTTTGAAATCGGTCGGGATGCTACGAGTAGAGTTATGGTCCTTGATATTTCAAAAGGGACCTAGTTCGTACAATTGTCCAACCAAGTTAGATCAATTGCTGAATAGGTACACGCACGTTGATGATTATATATATAGAGCCCCCAAACCTAAAGAAGAGCTTCCTCGTTTAGACCCTTGTGAAATTGCCATGTATAAAGATTGTTTTGATGGAGGTTTGAGATTTCCTATTCATCCATTTTTCGTCTCAATTTTCAACAAATTTCATCTTACACCAAGTCAAATAAATCTGAATGCATGGAGAAAAGCACCATACTTTTTGTACCTGTGTCTTAGTGAGAAGATTGTGCCCTCCATTGAACTATTTGGGTGAGTGTTCGAGTTGCACAATTTGCCCCAATACAACGCATTCGCATATTTCACTACCAGGTTCTTCTTCACATTCCTAATTACAGAAATTCCAATAGTGGATGGAAATCTCTATTCTTCTTCGTTCGGAATACCTATTGGAGAATTCCTCAAATTCATCTTTTCAAAGCTTACTCCACTTTTGAGTTCTCAAGTCCAACAACTGACCCATATACCGTCTTTTGCACCTCTCCTTTCTCAAGTCTTAACAATAAGGAAGATCTTGACAGTGGGAATCGGTCAACCTGTTGGTAGGTCCTTATTTATAGCTCTTGATTTTCGTTCTGTAATTTTCTTCAATTTCTAGCTCTTGTATCTGACTTTCTTGGTTGTATGTATGCAGGTATGGACTTCAACTTAGCAGGAGTTTTGAGCTCACTGCCTGAGCCCGAGAACGATGAGGGGTTGTCTTATGCTCCACCTAAGAAGAGAAAAGTCACGAACAAGAAAAAGGGAAAGAACACTAACAGGGGTTCTCCTCCACCTTAGAGGAGCTTACGGGAGGAGTCCCACCGTATGATGTAGGAAAGGAAAACTTGAGTCCCGGCGAGTTCCAGTTTGAGAGTGATGGCTCTCCATTTCTAGATCTTAGATTTTCTCCTACTCGAGATGTACTCAAAGTTGATATAGTCAATATTTTCATTGTGTCTGATCATTCCAGAGCTTTGTTTAGACACCAGATGGGTAATGTAGAGAGGGTCCTGGCAGTTTACAATAGAAGAGTACCCCCTCTTTCTATTTCTTAATTTTTCTTTATATTTATACTTCTGAATTTGTGTAACAATCGCACCCTATTTCCACTATTTGCTTGACAGGTCTTGACAATGCAAACTTTACTCGTCAAAGTGAGTCACCTTTTAACTACTAAATTAAAAGCTCTCAAGGAGGAGAAAGACAGGTGGTAGGCGACCTCAAGGAAGACAACCTTGCCTTAAAGAAGTCTCTAGATGTCGTGGAGGCTCAGAAGAAGGAGATGGAGTCTCGAATCAATGAACAAGAGAGAGAAATTGACAACTTGCACTCCTCATTGGCCCGTGCTTAGATCGATGCAATAGATCATTATAAGGCCTCTTCAGAGTATGTTAAGGACATGAATGATTATAGGGCAAAAACAATGTCAGCCTTTATCATCCTTACCAAAGAGTGGGAGACGGCTGAGCATCCATCCATTGATCCCTTTGACTATGATCATTTTCTATTGTGAGTAGAGATAAAGAAAAAGCGGCTAAGCAGACTAAAACATTTGGACACACCAGCGCGCCACAGAGAGGAAGCGGAGAAAGTTCGAACCAGAATGACATAGC